ACTGTTTTTTTGAGAATATTTTGTTTTGTTTTTAGTGCATTTTGTTTTGTTTTTCGTGTATTTTGTTTGGAAGTCGGTTTTGTTTTTTTTACTAAAATTGTTAGCATTGGTTGATTTATTAATAAAATTGTAAGCTTAATATTGATTTCTTATTAATATTCAATAATCCAGAAAAAAGCATCTTTTATTGAGTTTAAATCTTTGTCGAAAATCCGACTTACATCATTGTTAATGTACTGTGAATCTACAAGTTATACATGGGGCATTTCTACTATAGATAATATACATGTTGTAGCTTATGCAATGCCTTACCTCCACCACACGTAGCCGAACATAGTGATCCAGGGGTTGCCAACCAGTGGTAGCGTGGTCTAGAGCATGATGAGCCATCTCCGCCACACACACCGCACTCGTCGACACGTCTCGTCGAACCAACACGAAGATCACAACCGACACGCTGTTAAACATAATTGTTACGTAAATAATCAGATAGTAATAAATTGTAACATAACAATAACAGATAGTAATAAATCTATACTAACATTATAAATGCGAAAGTTTAGATAGATGGATGTTTGTTAGAGTTTGTAGCATAAACGGCTGAACGGATTTCGACGGAATTTGGCATAGATGTATAGAATAATCAGGAAGAATACATAGACTACTTGCATTTGTTTTTTTAATGTAGTCGCGGGCAAAGGTTGTTATAATATAAAATCATCATTAAATTAATGTCCCTTGATGTCTGCACAGTATGTGGTGCTCTTCCCTACATCTATATCAGCCGTCATATCTGAATTCACATCTTAAGTATGTTCTCTTTCACACAATCCATACATACTTTGTTCTTCCTATACCTTTATAGTATACAAAATCTTAATACTTTCATGTTTATGTCCTAATGCTATCACCGTTTATGTCCATACTACGCTAACATTTTCTAAGTCGATTTCTCCAACGCTTTCGCTACTTTCAAACTTTCTCTATTATGATTTGTACAAAAATAATGGCAGATTATTTAACAAAATTTCCGAGGCAACTAAAATTTTTGTTAGAATATAGTTCGTGTGAGATCAAAGTTTTCTTCAAAAAGTTCTTTACTTTATTTTTGTATTTATAAGATTGGTTTTGATAATATTTACTAGTGCATATAAATCTTATATTCAGTAGCGCAAAATAGAATACGACAATAGGAGAAAATGTCCCGATTTCATTGTAACCTTTATTGGAGGTACGTGAGGTCGGGAAATGATCAGGCATTGTGAAATATGGAAACTTTATTGCTTTTTTATGTTATTCATCCCTTTCATATGGCACAATGAGATATTTTTTTATTATAATGTACGTTGAATTTTATCGTATGTATGTAATTTTGCTTAATATTCAATGATTTTTGATTTAAATTTTTGAAAGTGGTAACCCGCTTTAACATCTTAGCACTGCAGGGCCGGCACGCCCGGTGTAATACCACTACCATACAGAAGACAGACGTGAAATGGAAGCAATTCCATGTTTCGTCTGATGAGTGTGGTGCCGGAGGCCTAATTTAAGTCCTTTTCTCTTTACCACCCTTTTCTTATAAGGAGAGGATGGGAAGGGGAAGTGGATTTGACGGTGGAGGAGATGCATAGGAAGGAGAAATATCCTCTTTATGTGCGTCTCCTCCTCCATCGGATAAGGGTAGGCAACGCATCTGCAATTGCGGATGTCTAAGGGCAGCGGTCGCTTCGCCATTTTGGCGGATTCAGGCGGCCGCTTGTTCGTTTGCCACCTTACGTTATACAAAAAAATATATATTATGTATTAGGTCACGTTCCATATATTAAATGTGAATTTTAAATGCTGAAATATCTGTGATTTCTATATTTTTATAGTCATAATAATGACAAAACAAACGAAACAAAGATATTTTTGTACATAAGAGAGAATGTTTATGAATCGCATTTTACTTCAACATTTCTAATTTAGACAAAATAAAATAGAGGAATTAATACTCAGACACATTTAATGGCTATTGCAGAATATTAAACCTACACTAAACCATACCCTTTAGAAAATGATTCTGAGATAGGCAGAAATATATAAATATGATATATTTTATTCTTTGATACTTACTCTTTGATACTTTATACTCGTTAAGAGATGTCATACTAGAGCCTAAGGGAATCTAAATCCAGGGTCGCATTTGACGTTAACTTTGTGATATCTGTTTGAAGTCTGTTTCAACTAACTTCGTCACTTTTATCTGCCATTTGTGAGTCTGTTCAGATCTGGAGGGATTTTTATTTGAATACTTCAGATGTCCGACATTAAAGTTACTTTCGACAGTTGATAAGACAATGTTTTTGGACGTTAATATAAAAGTTATTTTGGACGGACGTTACGACTTAAGTTGAGAATGTTTAGGCAGTTCCTTAGACTACATTTCAATACAAAGTCTGCTCTAAATGACGCCCTTAGCGTTCATAATTTGACTGTAAATGTAGCGGGGAGACAATTTCCGATGTATTAATTTCTTGATAAGTTTATGCTTTTCTTTACATTTTTAAGTAAGGAAATAATCTTAGTTATTGCCTTACAAGAACAGACGCGGTCATTAAGGTACTATTAATTGCTGGAACACTTTAAGTAACCCGGATACTCTTGCGGTCTTGTTGCTAGAGTATCGATTAGAGCCTTAAATTATTGATGTACTTAACAAGCTCCTAGCTTAGTTACAGGAAATAGTGGGTTAAGTACAAACTGTAAACGCGTTACTTAAGTGCATAAGACATTTTATAGGAAAGATTTCTATTAAATAAACATTTTTTAAAAACCAATCACCATCATTAACCCCTGTCTCTACAGAGGGTTGGCAGATTATGTACTGCTTACATACATATCTATTTGAATATACACCTTACACATTTTCATATTAGAGGAAGTTTGAGAGTAGCCCCCGTAGTAGAGAAGTAAGGAGTAAAAGGTTAGCATGGTATGGGCATGTTAAGAGAATGGATGAATCGCATGTAACTAGAAGTACGTTAGTTATGAATGTAGAGGAGTACACTGGAGGTAGACCTAGAAAGAGATGGATTGCGTGAAAGGTGATATGAAGAAGGGAGTGATGATTGATGATGGATGATAGGGTTATTCGGAGGACGAAAACAGGGGCAAACCCTACGGGAGTAAGATAAGGTAGGGGAGATAATGACATATCCTTTGTCACACAATCCATACATTATTCAGTCTACTACAAAAAATGTGTTTTTAGTATGCTAGAAAACATATTAAAAACAATTGTTAACTTCCTCTGTTAGACAAGTCAGACATTGAAACTTATAAAAAAGTATTAATATTCCAGCTGTGGCGGAACGGTATTATGCAAATCGACCTCGAACTTCCCACTTAAACAATATATGAAATTATGCAAAACGACAGAAAGACTCGTAGTGGTGATTGTGAAGTTTTATCACTTTCTGAGTGTCCGACTGTGAATCACAAGTTGCAAAGTTCCGTAGAACGG